GGTCCACAGAGACTGAGTGACACTGTGCAGAAACCTAACTACCATCACGCCTCTCAACCTGCAGCCACGACAGCCTCAAACCACCACGTAGCACACGGCAAGGCACAACTTCTTCTTCCGAAAGAAAATCCTCAAGAGGAAAATGTTTTTAGAAATCAACAAAACGGTTTGACAGCTTGATGACAAACTGTCCTCAAGTCCTCAGCGAAGAGCTTTCAGCAGGAACCCGCGTGTCATGTTGTATTGCAGGTAATGTCCGTTGGACTTTACCATCACACTTTACTAGGAATTCTACTTTTTTTCTACTTATATATACGCGGAAAGACAATTAAAATACTCGTTTGAGGATGAAAAAACAACTTCAAACCGCAGCAGCATGACAGATGATACTGATGAACTCAAGACGTGACGTACCTTGACATCTTTGTTGTAGTCAAGACCACCCAAACCAAGACCAGAGCTTATGAGGATGGAGACAGGACAGGACAAGACTTTAAGGTCCGAGACCAGGACCAGACAATAACATTAAAAAGAGAGTTTTGTTTATGAAGGCAGACTGCGTACTTTGCACTTAATTTTCCTTTCAATATACTACTACTACTATACATTGCAGACTTTCATTTACAGATGTGAATTTTCTTTTGGATGCTGTTTTTCAAATATCGTCTTTGCGATGACGTCTCCCCCATCTCTTGTCTCCCGCGTTCCCTTTGTTAGAGTGGGTGTGAAGAGCAGCAGTGACAGCCAACAATTGTAAAAGATATTAGAAATGCATCAATTTTTCTTTTGTTGCATTTGAAGCAGGATGCACAATATGCAGCCAAACGTTAAAAAGTTTTAATCCAACTCAAATAACAAAACCAAAAAAAAATAGCAAAGTTGAAGATACTCGCTGTGCGCGGTGCGTTGCAGCCCAACAGGTTGCACCCCTGAACAGCTAGAATTTAAGCACATCCACACTCCAACAGACCCGGGGCTTCCTGGGGTGTGTGTTAGTGCGCCAGAGGGGGCGAGGAATGTTATACACACATACCGCACTACTGGGGCCGCCGTGCTTGCACACACATTACCAACAGCATCCTTAAAAAACACAGGCTGATATCTGGGCTTTGCTGGGCCGCAGCTCCACGCACAGAAAACACACAGACGGTCCAACGAACACTCACCCACGGACCCTCGGACCCCCACCCGACTCACACTCTCCTTCACTGACCTCTCCTCCACCATTCCCAAAGAAAACCTCCACTCCCACCTCCCCAGCTGCAGGAAATTCCTAATGATCTCCATCATCAGCGTGCGTGCTGTATCCCCTGCCAAGAGCGGGCGTGTGCACGCACAACAAACGCGCACACACGTAGCATATAAATGAGCGGGAGTGCAACACATAAACCGTATGCGCGGACAAACAAAAAAAGCAGACGGACGCTCGGGCAGACAGACACACATCTAACGTAAACAGACTTCACACAGACCAGAACCAGTGGCCGCTAAGCCAAGGATGCACGCGGGGGACTGGAGAAGTAGCTTGAAACACTAGTCAACAAAAAAACAGGACCCCCCCCCCTCCTCCCGCACCCCCCATCTGACTGTCTCGCTGTCTGTCTCCCTCCTGTTGTTTCCGCGGAAACCTACATGCTGTAGTTATTTTAAGATGAGGAGGACTGTGTTACCCCCATCCTCTTCTTCATTCACCCCCCCCTCCCCTTTTTCTCCTCCTCACTGCTCCCTCTCGCATCTCTCTAGCAACACCCCCACCCCCCACACATAAACACACACACACACACAGACACACAAACACGCACACACCTACCGCCCCCAGTTTCTCTCCCACAACACACGCTC